ACGTCTTTATGGATTTTATTGATTTTAGGGGTTTGCCTCCCTATGTCAAAAAAGCGCCATCTCAAGTAAAAACCTACCCAACAGCTTAAAAGGGAGAAATATATTTTTAAATGTAGACAACCCTTAAGGACGATGAATCACTCGCACGCGCATAGATCGATGATAGAAGTGATAGATTAATATGTACCAAACGTTGCGGTTGCTTTAATTTTAGCTTTCATGTATGGGACACAGGATTACATGATTTTAAAATCGAATTTTACTTTCTACCTTAACTAACTACTAAACTACTATACCTTGCTTTGAGGTTAACTCAATAACGTAATAGTAATTTAGTAATTCATCTACACGTATGCAGATGAATGACAATTTAAAAAATATCAATGTTTTTTATCAGGTACGTATTAAATTATAAGTTTTTAAAATAATAAGCTTACTTTACTACATTAATATACTGAATGTCTTCTATTGAATGTTCTTTACAATTAGGTACCCAGGTTCAGTAAAGGCACTAAACGAATCTAAGCGGCGCTGCGGCAGTGCTTAAAGGTTTGACTCACCAGAAACATTGTACAATAGGAAATAACTTCACTAAATACTATACTAACTCACTCCTTCAGGGAAACTAGCGCATATTCATATGCCAATCCAATAAAAAATGACCACTTACTTAGAGCTTCACAATCACTGCAAATCATCGTTGATGATAAAGATATCCATATTAGATACCAGTAGAAGTAATCTATAGATTAATATCTCCTATCCATATGACAGCCTGAGGGGACAGACAGCTATTGCGTGCTTCTCCATTTGTAAGTAGCATGTTCTATATTTAGATGCGAGGTACTAGATCTTCATTTAGTGGGAAATAAATTGTATGCCGCTTGCGATTGGGACAGGACAGTTGCATACATATGTTATAAGGAGCTACCTGACGTTTGTAGCGTGCTGTTTAATGCTTTAGACTTGTTTGTGTATAAATATAGGGCAGCTGCTTTTCCCTGAAATGCTTGTGGGAATAAAATAATCTTCATAGGGGTAATTAAATAGGGGTAATCATTACTAGACACTTTTTATTTTCCGTTGTGGTAATGAAAGGTTTACGTTAAAATGTAACACCCACTTTTCCCTGATTATAATAAGAATCTTTCGTTTAAGGTGATGGGCCTATAGCCATAAGTAAAGCAAGAAATGATCATATTTCTTTCGATCAAGTATGTATAACTTTATCGAACACAAGGTTTTGATCAAGATAGGATAAACTGCTATTGGGATTTCCTAGGGTTGAGTTCAGCTTGTTTTTGGGCTACTTAGGAAATCCTCTTAGTAGTCTCTAGCTACTCAGTAAAATTATGAAAAGCCTCTGTATTTATCAATGACACCTGTGTCACTATTAATATAGGTAGCACTGTGGAAGTAACTAATTTTGTATACTTCTGACTCATTGCTTAACTACGACGCCAACCAAGCAGACAATATATTCTCCATCGATGCATAATAACTCTTTTGAAAATATCTTCAGAGCACATAATTAAATGACTGAGAAAGATTTGTTCGTATACATCCCTCGCGGCATGAAACGACAAATAGGTACGAGTGTCTGGCAATATGTGGTAGGTACTTATGATTACTGGTCACCGATGCTACAAACCGTGAATATGGGACTGACTAAAGCGTAAGTATAGCTCGTTACAAATAAAACAGAAGTTATGATTAATAAGACTATCTAGATTATGTTTAATAATAATCATGTACTAAATTAAATCATTTTCAGTTAGAGGTTGTTGTTGCATTTACGAGGATTTTTTTTATTTTTTTTGATAGAGCTACGTTTGGCCACTACATCGCCTGGTGGTAAGCGATGATGCGGCCTACGATGCAGTACGTCTGCCATAAATAACCTATTCACTCGGGCCTAGAAGACACTCATGTTATACCCTTCAGGAAACACAGACTCTGGCAAAGAATTCCACTCCTTAGCAGTAAGCACAAGGAAGCTTGAGATGTTTTGAAATTTTGAAGGATGAAGTTCAAAATTCGAGATCGAGAGCACTGCTTCTCTGTATAATTTGTAGGTCTAACGATATCCGCGAAAAGGAAAGGCCCCATGGATAAAAAACCATTATTGAATGCTTAGTCACGTAATATTGGTGTAACCTTAACCTGGTGAACCATTTTAATCTTTTGGTATCACAGGACCAAATTTGTACTAAAGGACCAAGCACCACTGTAATTGTACCGAGCTATCCCCTTGGGGTACAACTACATTTTGTCTCCGATTAATATGTCCTACCTGTACCGCAGTAACTACTGTGTGGGACTGCCTTATGAATAATGTTTCTTCAGACGTACTAATATACACGCATCTTAATTACTAATATTAAAGGTACGGACAGATTTTGTTAATGATTTCGATATTAGTAGTGGGTAAAGAGTGCTTTTAGTTTTAGATTCAATAATATTTAAATCATCCTAAATATTGCAATATTGTTGTAGATTGCGCCAAGAATATTCTTCCAATTAAGCTAATTTGGTCGGAATCAAAACATAAAAATCACCTATCTTACATTATTTGAGTTTACAAGTGTTATTCAATTTTGAAAACAAAATCAGACTACTAACGCCATCTAGCGGTAATGCAATGAAGTTATTACGTTTAAAGTTCACTGGCTAGTGCTAACGAAATGGACACCGGTTGATAAAGTTTCGTTTAGTGTGTGTAGATGGCGTTGTAAGACGGTGTCGGGAATGAAGTGACTAAAAGTTACGTGAAGTTGACGCTAGATAGCGTTAAACTAAAGTTCTCGTCAAGATCATAAATGCTCAATAACTTTCCTTTTCAATGAATATTTTCATGGTTGGATCATACTTATCTTATAATGACGAGTACTTCTGTATCTGCCTACCTCTTTAAAAATAAGCGATAATGAAGTAAATGCCAGTAATAATGGTAGTTAATTAAAAATATTAAAATGAATATAAAAATAACCTTGTAAGTAACATAATTATGTATAAATAATGATGCAAACTCGAACTCGCTGCAACTTGCTTTGAACCGCACGCTGAATATTTTATAAGTAATTATTTAACTGCTTTAACAACTTCCGACATGGAAAAGAAGAGGTTAGAGACCTCTTCTTTTGCTTATGTCAGTTTATTAATACTAAAGTGTAAAAAAAACATTTTTCTGAAAACCATTTCAAAATCGGTTTAGCCAATCGCGAGATTCTTCTTTCTTCTTCTTATAGTGCCACTTCATTCCTGAAGGTTGGCCGTCAACTTTTTGAATTGGTCCTTGTCATTGGCCAGACGGAAAAGTTGTTCCACAGAGCTGATACCAGTCCACTCCCGAATATTGCGCAGCCACGACTTTTTCCTTCGCCCAGCGCTTCTCTTCCCTTCCACCTTACCCATCATTATAACATGAAGCAGCATGTATTTGTCATGTCTCAGTATGTGACCGAGATATTCTATCCTGCGCCTTTTGATGGTTTGGATCATTTTGCGTGGCATGTGGACGCGCTGGAGCACCGTATCGTTCCTAAACTTTTGCGTCCAACTTATGCGCAACATCCGACGCGCAATCGCGAGATAATCGCTCACAAATATACAAACATAAATACAGGTGAAACTAAGAACCTCCTTCTTTTTTTAGTCGGTTAAAATATAACACGAATTCATTTATTCATTAGGAAGCAGACATTTTAGTAGGTAGATAGTGTCTAAAGACAGGTCAATAGCTCTGTGTTCATAGAGAAATATTATATCTCTAAAAAATACATACATACATACATAACATCACGCCTTTTATCCTCGAAGAGGTAGGCAGAGGTGTACATTATGCCACTGTACAATGTAACACCCACTTTTTACTATTTATGTTATGAGTCCCATGTAATAGGGGGTGAGCCTATTGCCATATACCGGGTACAATTCCAGACTCCGCGCTACTACTGAGAATTTACAAAATACACATTAGTACTTTGCCCGACACGGGAATCGAACCCGAGACCCCTTGCCCGGTAGTCGCAATTGCGACCACTCGGCCAACGAGTCAGGCCTCCAAAAAATGTACCTACTATATCCAAGAATTGAACCAATGAACTTTCCACAAAATACATATCTATAAAATGTGAAATTTATGTCTACATTTGAACTAGCATAATACAATTAGCGCCATCATAAACATTGAATACATCGTTTTTATATGTTTGTCTTATTTTTATAGCTTTGTCAATTAAGTGGTTTTTAGTATTATTCCCAAGAAAATGTATGTTGGATGACACCCACGTTGTAGGTACCACTTTTATGTATATCTGTTTATGAAGCGTTGTATGATTATTTAATAATGCATACTTTTATAAATATGTAGAGAAGTCATCTGTATTCATATGCTAACTAGTCAAATTCAATACCTTTTTCGAACTGTCAAAAACGACAGTTTTCAATGAATTTTGTACGAGATAATGTATTGTGACGTCACGTTGATTTAGAGCCAAACCGCTTACTTATTTCTTAAAAAGTTACTTGAAAAATACTAAAATTAAGTTAGTCATAAAATCAATTAATAAAGTGTGATGATTGTTTAATATTTTATTGTATGGCACAGTCGAAATAAATTATTTTTGATAAAGGAAAGTACCCAATTACTGCTAGACTCTGCAGAACAGTCCTCTATTGCGAAAAAAAAACGAGTATGTACTACTGGTAAACAGGCTTGTCTTAAATAATTAGCCATCGGAACACGCAGGGCTATTAATTTATTTCTAGAACAGTAACGACTTACCATTACAACAGTGCATAGAAGACAATTATAATAATTAACATACATACATAAAGTACAAAAATTTAATTGCAACATCGCAATGTTAAGTTCAATGCCACGAAGACGAACGCAACTACATCTTAGATCACTCATAGTACCGTAGGCGACCTACATCGAGAGCCTCTTGCATCAAGCTTACAGTCTCCGACGATAGCTCAACGCGGTCGAACGCAACATGTTTTTCGAAAGTTTTCTTCTAAATCTCTCAGTAATCGTCGTGCTCATAATCGCCCTAATCATCGACTATGTGACCAAATTCTTCAGCTACTGGTACGTCCGGCATGTGCCTTACAAATCATCCATCCCCTTCTTTGGCGGCGACTACCACAGGGTCCTCGGAATCAGGAGCAGCACTGAAGATGCCAACATACTATACGCCAAACACCCCAAAGATAAGTATGTCGGCCGTGTCAAATGCAGGATTCCCGACCTGATAGTGAAAGATCCCGATACAGTAAAGAGGATGTTGTCAACGGATTTCGCAAATTTCCATAGCCGAGGTCTCTCCTTGGACAAATCTCAGGATGTTTGTTTACGAGACAATTTGTTTTACGCCGACGGAGAAAAGTGGACCCTATTGCGCGAAGGCTACGATTCTTTATTGAGTAACATGAACTGTGAATTGGAGAGTTTGAGTGACTGTTTGCCGGGAACAAATGGTGATGCTAACGTTCAAGAGATTTTGTCGAAGGTATTGGATAAAGTCTTCGAGGATTTACTTCTTGGTAGCGGTGGAGGGTCAGTTGTAAAGGAAGTGAGATCAGCAATACAAAGGCGCACTTTGATAGAGAGATTTAAGAGTTATCTTAAAGACATTTTCCCGTCTTTGTACATTATGTTTGGGTTAACAACGATCTTTGGAGAGCCCTCATCTAAAACAAAGAGTGTAATCGAAAAGTCAAAAGTCCTGTCGCAAATTAAGAACTTGGGTAACGTGTATCAACTTGGGATCAAAGAAAAGAATAGAAAGCGGCATTCCGATGTCGAATTTGCTTATTCAATAATTTCCTCATTCATAACCGAGGGGTACATACCGTGCCTGAATGCATTGACCGCATTGATTTATGAACTAGCATTGAATCCAGAGGTGCAAGAGAAATCTAGGAATTCGGTTGCAAAACACAATAGAGATGAATATTTGGACGTGGCTATTAAGGAGGCTTTGAGGCTGCACCCTCCATATTCAATAATTTCAAGACAATGTACGAAAACATATCACCCTGAAGGTGGAATACTGATTGATAGGAAAATAACTATCAATGTTCCTGTGATGGCTTTGCACCGTGATGAAGAAAACTACATCAATGCAAATTCTTTCAATCCTGATAGATTCTTGGATGACGAAGGAGCATCGAAGCATTGTTACGCTTATCTGCCTTTTGGAGCCGGTCCCAGGAAATGCATCGGTAAGATTTTATTTTGTATTTAACTTTATAGCATCAAATCACGGTCTAATTGTAATCAGGCTTGTTTCAAGTGTAACAAGATGTGAAGCATAAAGTATTATTATTCTTATTGCTGTTTCGCACAAAGTTACTATTTAGTCGTTTTTAATTAAATAATAGGTTGATTTTTTATAGTCATTTTTAGAGACTAAATAAAGAAAGAGAAAATTTAATATTTTGGTTAGAATTAACTACGTAAATAGCATGTTATTATAATTATAAATACTTCAAAACTATTAAAAATTACAGAGATTATCATAAGATTATTATTTACTTTGTGTATATAATTGAGGTAGGTTTTATCAAAGTTGTCATTGTGATTCGATTCTCACGAACTTTAACTTCTTTATTTCTTACAATACCTGTGTATTAACAGACAACAATCTTAACTGTTGGTACCAAATACATACCTACCTTTATAAGTATGTAGAACATTTTCGCAGACTTATAATCGAGAGTCAGCTCTCAATTACTTGAACTATTTTACGTACCTTTTTCATCTAACGTCACACTTTTCAATTTTATAATTATAGTACAAGAAAAAAGTCCTATAAATTCAGTCATTCATTACCTATTATAACATATTTTATGTCGCTTAGTAGGTAATCAAATTGTTGATATAATTTTTAACCTATTATCAATCCGCTGTATGTTGCTTTTTTTGTTTATTTTACGCGATTACTCGGGGTAAGCTAAATTTTATTATGAGTTTGTGGCACCGACTTATCACTTATCAATGAGTATGTAACCTTAAAGTACGTACGACTAACAATAATTATATTTTGCTTTTTCGTTTTCGTTTGTTTTTAGTTTTTGAAATCGGTTTTTTTAAACGCAGTTTTTAATTATATGTCAGTCATAACAATACCTACAATTGAATGGGTATGATATCTTTACTACAAACCGTTCTGGAGAATTTTGAAATTCTGAGCATCCAATAAAATTATTGCAGTTGCTGACCACTAGTGTGTTTTTACAATGTTTTACAAAACTAGTCCATGAAGGAAATATAGAATACAAATTCAATAATTTTCCCCTGTACACTCATACAGAAACATGGCGCTCGCGCATTGAGTGCATAGCATTCACTATCTACTATTAGTAGTATGAGTGGTACAGCAATTAGTATGAGGTACCGTATTACTAAAATAGGATAGAGATTGCTCATTTACTTCTTACATAGAAAAGTAACAGTATCTAGTTTTGAAAAGACTTGCTATTTGCTATAGAAGGTCCTAACGATTAGATTTTGTTACCTCGCTAGTCGAGGAGATGCTTACTGCCAAGTAAATGTTCTCATCTCAGTATCATCAGTGTTGTGTCCTGAGTCGAGTGAAATACATAATATAATGGAATTTTCAACCACGTAAATTCTGAGTTTTATAATAGACTAGCGGACCCGACAGACGTTGTCCTGCATATCTACTTGAATGTATAAACAAAAATTCATTCAAATTAGTTCAACAGTTTAGGATAACTAACCTAGATATGAGTGCAGCGTCATCTGCCGGGCTGATTTGTGAATCTAAACCATTCCCAGATCCCCTTGAACACACACAAAAAATTTCATCAAAATCGTTCCAGTCGTTTGAGAGAAGTTCAGTGACATACACACTCACAGAAGAATTATATATATATAAAGATTTAGGTTTTAAATATCTGAATTATTTAAACTACAGGTTTGCCCTCTCTTATACATCATCATCAAACAAAATGCCTACTGCTGAGTAAAGTTTCTTCTCACACGCAGAAGGTTTGAGCATTAATCACCACGCTTGCTCAATGCGAGTTGGCGGTTACAAACTTATAATTAGAAATCATAAGCCCAGGTTTACACACGATGTTTTCCTTCACCGTTTGTCAGTGGTGTCTAGATAATTTTAGAAAGTACATATAACTCGGAAAAAGTCACATTGGTACTTGCTGTTGGTAGGTTTGGAACACGCACCCTCATGCATGAGATTCGGGCGTTTTAAATCTCTGGCTCACTACGACATTACACGATCTTATACCTACATGGTGGTTTAAAAATTATTTTAAGAAAAATAGGGTAATACATTTACTTTGGGTTATCTGGTTATGTTTTTGTCATTATTTTAAAAAATAAACTGCATTATGTACTAGTCGATTCCTTTGCCTATTAATTCTTGTATATATTTAACCGAGTTGAATATAACGAGGTAATTAATTCGAAACGTATGATATACGTGCAGCTAATTGTAATTGTCGGTTAAATTCTATTATACACTTGTAAAAAACTGGTAATAAGTACTGTATTTAATCTCTATTCCTATTATTAAATAAATTTCTAGAAACTAAACATACACTTTTGGTCTACGTTTGTAAAGTGTCGACTGTCAAGCAAATGTTCTCAGGTTTATTCCCAAGTTCCACAGAGTGTCTGAATTTGATTGCCCCAATTCGCAATTATAGATATAGACATTTTCACCTTCATATGATTATAAAACGTTGAATTTTATATCTATTATAATTATATGGCGATTTATCGTCCCACATTGAGCAAGCGTTGTGTTCATGCTTAATTCTTCTCCGTGTGAGAAGAGACTTTGCTCAGCAGTGGGCATTTATAGGCCGTTGATGATGATTATAAAAGGTTATATTTTATGTGTATTATAATTATATGGCGAGTTGTCTTTCGACGTGGAGGACTCAGGGGGAGGCTTTTGTCTAACCGATAATGAGAATTTTAATTGACGATCTGATTTATTTTTCTTATAAGTACTGCTAATAATGTTAATTGTACAGATACATGCAACAAACAATTTTAATTAGTGAACTAGTTCAGTTTAACCTGAGATCAAGGTTTACCAAATCTACAATGTTTTTTAATTATTCATAAGCTAATTTGGGCTTTAGAATATTTGGATTAACGAGACAATCATGTTTGCCGATCGGTCGTATGAAAAATGTCACCATGTTTGTCAGGTACCTTCGGGTTCGCAATTATGTTACCATGTCACCAATATATTAACCTGTTGAAAATCATCCCCGAAATTTGTTCATACAAAAGTAGTCTCTAAACATTGGAAATAAAGTCTATAATGTAGTTAGTGGAGAGCGGTCACCGGTGAGCGCTTGGGGATTTTTTTTTTAAGTGGGGAAAACATCGAATCACTGCTCCCGCCTGGGTGAGGCGGGAGGGAGTGTCATACTCTTACTGACTAAAAACCACCCCGTTTCTTCTCCTGCACGTCGAGCCGGAGCCCCGGTAACCCGTTAGGTTCTCCGCGACAACCCCTTGGGGATATCCCTCATTTTTATTAATGTCACATTTGTGAATACTTAACATAGACATACTTATAAGAACTTGACACTATTACAAGTAAATATAAACATTATTACCTATATAATAGCTAGGCTTTCTCCACTTACACATACTTTCGAGGCCACAGAAGTTATTATAATAAATAGCACAATGATACCGCGGTATACAAGTTGACTACACTTCATCTTGTCAATGATTTAGAAAGTCTTGACTTGACTTGGTTTCTATAAAGTGTAGAGAATATTAGAGGTATATGAAGATTGTTAGTTTCATACTTATCGTATACGACTTAATATAGTAGTGAATTATACGATTGATTTGTTAAAAGCGCCATTACCGAATAGAAATAAAGAAAAAACTTTATTTCACACGCTAAAACAGGTGACATATACAGATTATACACATAAGGTTGTAAATAACTATTCGGAGTCGCGGAGAACCTAACGGGTAACCGAGGCTCCGGCTCGACGTGCAGGAGAAGGAACGGGGTGGTTTTTAGTCAGTAAGAGTCTGACACTCCCTCTCGCCTCACCCAGGCGGGTGCAGTCATTCGATGATTTTCCCCCCTTAAAAAAAGGTTATAAATACCTACTAATGTCCCAAGTCTGAGATGAAATGGAACCAGTTCAACATACGTGTAAGACGGGCCTTACGCTGGTATTCTACTGGCAGCTTAAGTGACTCGCGGACGAACAAGCCACCAATCGGAAAACAATAAGCAATTAGCAATATAAATCAATTACTAAATCATACACTATAAAATACACATAACTAAATAAGTGACATAAAAAATCAAAAACGAGTAATTACATAAATTAAAAAAGACACTTTAAATATGATTTTGATATTGGATATTTTCTTAGTTTTGTACGGGAGACGATCATAACTTCACTTTATATATCATTTTAAATTAAGTGACAAATAAAATGTAATAACAAAATAACATATCTATTTTACATAGAATGATTCTACTATACATGAAAAATACAAATTTCAGTACACGTCTACAGCAAACGCTTTTGATTATTAAAAAAAAAACGAGAGAAGAAATAACATGAGGTTCATTTTACATGTGAAATTCCATCATTTCAAGTGCATCATCTGTCGGAACACAACACGACATATGAATAAACATTATAACAGAACCATTAATGCATTTTATCGGTTGAAAACCAGTATAGCTTCACTTTCGTTCATTTCATTTGCATTTGGACCCACGTGGTTCATTGATGAAGTAATTTTATTTTTATACATCGAGTTTATACACCTTTTTATATGTTATTCCACTTTGTATTATAACTTTCGTGACACATAACATAACATCACGCCTTTTATCCCCGAAGGGGTAGGCAGAGGTGCACATTATGTACAACATAACATAATAATTTATTTAGTATGACACATACTAAATAAATTATTATGTTATCATATTTGTGTGTGTGTTATCATATTTAGTATGACACATACTAAATAAATTATTATGTTATCGGCTTAGTCACGGGCCTCTAGCAAGGCTTGAAACTAGTCGAGTTCCTCGTCAAATAATTATGTGAGTAAGCGGAAAACATAATAATTTATTTGTTATTGCACTGTTTAATGATGCACCGGTCTCTTCAAAATTAATGTCCACGGAAACATGAACGGATACGGGGTCAAATGTTTAGGTTCACGGATGCGAATATCCGCCATAACACTCGCAGTGTTAAATCAAATAATTTTTCGAAAGGAAATATTAATATTTTAAAATATACTCAAAATAACAGTAATTTTTAATTAACTATTTTATGAGTCTCGTGTCATGATAAACCAATCGAGATGGTCGTATGGGGAAAAATCTAAAAATCGTGCTATCTCTGAAAAAAAAGTTTTGATATTTGACAATAAAAAATTCCCGGTCGAAATTTTCTTCTGAATAGACTATTCAGAAGAATTCAGAAGTTCCACTCTGTTTTTATAATAACTATCGTGAGATATACTAAATTAACTAAAAATCGCGGGTTACTCACGTGAATATACTGAGAAAAGCTCTAATAGTTTCGAACCACAGAGGGGTTCTTCCTCATGAGCAGCGTACGCGGTCGCGGCCATAGTATACCTCATGACTTGCGATTGTAGGCTGCGCGACTTCGTGCATGATGTGGTTCGAAACTAGTAGAGCTTTTTTCAGTATATTCACGAGAGTAGCCCGCGTTTTTAGTTAAGTTCCACTTTATCATCGTCTTCATCATATCAGCTACAAGACATCTACTGTTGAGCAAAGGCCTTCGCCAATTCTTCCCAGATAGGCCAGTTAGAAGCGAGCAGTATAAAGTTCCCTTCGACCAATTTGCACTGGTTCTACCATTGTTTTTAAAATTCAAAAACCGTAATTTTATGTTTTATTTTTTACTAATGGCATTACTTTTCATTTCAGGTGAGCAGTTGGCCTTGAAGTTGATTAAAAGTATAAGCAAGGCAGTTCTTAATAAGTACGAAATTGAGCCTTGTGCTAAGACACCATCAAAATTGACTATGGTGGACCATAACTTTGGGAGAGTAGTCGATAGGGATATCTGGCTCAGATTTAAGGTGAGAGCTTAAAGAAAGTGAGATTGTTTTGTGTTCGAGTAAAAAGCAGTGAAATTAGAATGTAGAATGCAAATTATAATATTCTTTGTATTTTTTGATAAATGACAATTAATTTTAGTATTTTATGTTGTTGATAAAATTAAACCCATGACAGAATCAAACAGAATGTAGTTACAATTTATTTTATTTTATTTATTAATGCGTAAAATAAAGTGTTGGTATCGTAAAATGTTTCACATAACGAATTTAACCATAAATAGTACAAAATAATTTTGGAATTGTACAAAAAATACATTTTAGAATTACATAATTATATGTTCGTGATATAAAAAGGTATACAATAGATATATTTTTATTATAAAACTAAATATTATAGTTTATTTTAATAATAAATATTTCGAATTAATACTATAAAGTATGAAATTAAGTAACTTCACTATTTTAATATTTTTGGCTCAAGTAGATATTAATTACTAGTGAATAAGCTAACCTATTTATTTATTTTTCATTTAAAGTTGGAAGTATTAGCTATATTTTATACACAAAAGACAAATAAATTGCTTTAAAAATGTGTGTTTGATTTGAAATTTATTTTACTTGCGATGTAAAACCATAGAAGAGAACTGTATTAGTGATTGTTACATTCAAATTGAGATGAAAAAACTATTTAAACTGTCAAACACCGCGGGGACACCGGTGTCCGCACACCTATTGTTCTTTAATTGTGTCTATAATGACGGTACTATATAGAACTATTTTTAAACCTGTAAGACCGGGATTTTAATTGAGTTTCTGGCTCGTTCTTCTCCATTCAAATCTACATTTTAGAATGAGCACCTAGCTTCACTGACGTACTGTTTGGCAGACTATAATTTCTTTTGTATTTGTTGTCGTTTCAAAAGTACCACTTTGACTTTGACTTTGACTTTGAAAAATCATTTGGCGTCGCCCATGTACACCTAGAACACAAGAGGCATTACAAGTGCGTTAGCGGCGTATTGGGGATTAGGAATTTGAATATTATTCGGGATTCAGGAATTGGGGAGATTGTGGGTAATTGGGCCTCCGGTAACCTCACTCACACGACGAAACACAACGCAAGCGTTGTTTCACGTCGGTTTTCTGTAAGGCCGTGATATCGCTCCAGTCGAACCGGCACATTCGTGCCGAAATATGGCTCTCTCGTACTTAAATGAACTCTATTTTTACCAGCTTTAAAATTACTATGCAAAAAGAATATATGCAAGAAGAACCAATAGAATAGTGATAATACAAAAATAAAAACATTTAACGTACCTACTGCAAATACCAAACCATGCTAAATTCTGAGAACTACAATCAAACGTACTCAAATACACACACAGTCCAAAAAAAAACACCGATACACACAAACAAACACAGATTCACAGAACCCTATATCAAACTTCGAACACGCTCATATTTTGAACCGACCTATCAAAACTGTACACAACAGAATTCGATTTTCGAATATTTTTTTTAATCGCTCAAGAGCAGCTCCTGAAAATCAATAGGATTGACAATGACAAAGGGGTCTAAAACGGCCGGTGTCCGAAGGGGTTGAAAGGGAAAAAATATTTCGAGTTTCCATCGGTGTTGCCTTATAATGGAGTTTGTCATTGCGTATAGTGACTATGTGTGCAGGTGTGTTATGGACTTTGAAGGATTTTTGTTAAACTTTGATTGTATTTTTGTTTGTAATTTATTATTGTGTGATTAACTGCCATCAATACTGAGATTGTATAATGGGGTCTTTAGAGCAATCTTCAGAACTGCATGGACTATTATAAAATGGATATCTACGTAATAATATAAACTCTTGATTTAAGGCCTGCTGATTAATTAAATGCTTTGTTGGCCAGGTCGTCGCAAGTGTGACTGTCAGGCAAAGGGTTTCGGGTTCAATTCTCGTATAGGGCAAAGTATTACTGGGTTTTAAAAAAAAATCTCAGTTTTAGCACGGAGTCTAGAACTGTGCACAATATATCGCAATACGCTCACCCTTATAGCATGGGAGTCATAACATAAGCAGTGAAAACTTAGGTGTTACATTGTATAGTGGTATTAAGTGCCGAAATGTGTATGCGGCAATTTTAAAATAAATCACAATGTTGTGTAAAACTAAAACCAATACTCGAAAAAAGATAGAGTTGAAGTAGCACTTTTTTAGGAGGAGAACCATCATCTTCTAACTCCTGCCGAGCAAGCTGGGGTCAGCTGAAGCAGCAGATGCAATATCTTTCAAGGTTTTTCTAGACTGAAAACCCTATAACACTTTTACCAGATTTGACCAACGAAATCTTCCAGTGTATGATAACACAATGTTTCTTTTTTTGGTTTTGATGTTAATTTCATTTCATATTAGTATCATATTCTATTGCAGCGTTTTCTTTTCCTCTAATTAATCTATTGCTAATTTATTCATGTAAATTAATGCAACTTAATTTGATTTTTTAACCTACATATTATATTCTAATTGTGCATCCATTAATTGATTTTTTTTCTTAAAGAATGCGGTGCTCGCCTGTAATCGATTGTAACATTTTATTATTATCTTATTTAAATGTTTGTTGTTTAATGTACTAATGTATACAATTGTTGGTGGGCCAATAAAGATAAATAAAAAATCTTAAAATATAGATATATAAAATAGAATAGGAATAGAAAAAGTTAGTATCTCTACTACATTTAGAAAACATGCTTGCTTATCGTAACTGGCTTTATACACACATTGGCGTAAATACAAGAACTAATTTCTAATTCATCATTAGAGAAAGGCGTTGTCTGTTTTAACATTAGTTCGTTAAATTGAATGATGTGAATATTCGCTTTCTCCAAAAAGGAGGTCAGATAAAAGTCGACCGGCGTCTAGTCGCTGGCGCGGGTCAAAATATTAGACCTCATCAGAGTGGCTTTGTGTATTTTTTTAGGAAACGAGGTCAAGTGCATGTTGGTGTTATCTTGAGATGGGTGACTGTTCTGTTGTTTTATACTTAGACGGCCCATAGAACACTGCCTTTTTTGGCTCATTAAACTAAAATCTTAACCTTCAATAGGACAAAAATCATCATTCATTCACCATTTTAGACTCTGTCTGGTATCTACTAGGTATATCACAAAAGCATTTAATTTTGTGGTTAGTTTTAATTCACTTTTGAGTTCCTTGTTAGGTTTGTTTTTGATACCCAAGTAACTAATTTTTTAGCTATATAATAATATGTGTGTTATTCAAAATAACATCACGCCTTTTATCCGCAAAGGGGTAGGCAGAGGTGCATATTACGGCACTTAATGCCACCGTACAATGTAAAACCGACTTTTCACTGTTTATGTTATGAGTTCCATGTTATAAAAAGGTGAGCCTATTGCCATATACCGGGCACATTTCCAGACTCCGTGCTACTACTGAGATATTTTATAAACTTAGTATGTTATTCAATACCCTAAAATCACGTAAAATGTACAAGCACTCAACAATATTGAAATAACCTAACATTAAAATACTTATTACACTCAACTTTATTATTTGTTGACATCAAACAACCACTTTCTCTCTAGAGATTATAAACCTTTACAAAATAATCGTAAATACAAATTAGGCTACGGGTTCTAAATATCCCATAAAAATCTGCAGCCAGGATTATCCTCGGTAATCTCATATTTTATGGGGAACGCATGCAAACATGTCTGATTTATAGCTGGCACCATGGTATACGCCGTTTCTAACATAATGCTGTACATGTGTAGACCAATGGGGGAAAGTGACGGTAAAACTTGGTAAGAACGGCTAATACGTAAAAAATATTTTGATAATTTTGACTGCCTTGTTGGCTGAGTGGTCGTAAATACGACTGCTGGGCAATGAGTCTCAGGTTCGATTCCCAAGTCGGGGACAGTACTACTGGGTTTTAAAAAATAATTTCTCAGTAGTGGCACGGAGTCTGGAATTGTGCCCGATTGTATATGACAATAGGCTCATCCCCTATTACATGGGACTTATGACATAAATAGTGAAAAGTAGGTATTACATTGTATAGTGGCATTAAGTGCCATAATGTGCTTCTCTGCCTCGAGGGTAAAAGGCGAGATATTATGATGATGATGATGATTATTTTGATCAAAGCTCATGTCACGATGAATAACCCTTTAATGATGAATAATGTATACTTTTCAAAGATTTGTGACTCTGGTCTGAAATGATAATTTATATGATTTTACTAATAATTTCCCAATGTGATATTACAAAGCAAGCAATGACCGACTAGGCGTCTACAATAAATATCTCCGTCAGTCGTTTATGTATGTACACAAGATTTATAGACTCACTCAAGATTCTCTGAGTTAAACCCTTGCGTCCTTTGAAAATGCTACTGAATCTAGTCAAAAGGTACACAGAAACCTGAACCACTAGATCAAAGTCTAAACTCTAAAACGACTTCAATCAAATTAACGTGCTCTTGAAAATAATCTCAGTCAACCAAATTCGCAATACAACGTTTTTATGTGCAACTTTGTGGGTCAGTGATCTTGCTACATCATCATTGACAAAGGAATACGTGAACGGGTCGCTACAGCCAGGGTCGCGTATTTTCACGTCAGTCGGACACTGACAAAAACTGATAGCAAACGTTCACAGTCAATTTGTATGTGCAATCTTAGTAAATTAATAGGAAATTAAATTTAGCGGTCTAAGTAATTTTGTTGGTTAAATTTGATTCTGGTTTGTAGTTTCTATTTATTTGTTGTTTGAAATAGTTTCGGAAGGCAAATTGATATGATTTATTGAAGACAGGATAGGTGTTTTCGGGGGTTATTTTTATGGCAATAGTCACACCCACTATTACATGGGAGTCATAACATAAAGTCAAAGTCAAAGCATTTATTTCAATTAAACCATGGTTTGGTACTTTTGAAACGTCAACAAATACAAAATAAATTATAGTCTGTCAGTCAGTCCGTCAGTGAAACTAGGTGAAGTTAGGTATAAATATTGA